TTACCCTAGCGTTTGGATTAATACTTGACAACCGATTTGTTCAGTCGTTGGCTCTAATAGCCGATACCAGAAGGGTATCGCCTCTAGTACAAAAATAAACCCGAAAGGGTAGAAGCCGATATGATGTGTATCGCCTATAGGAGCAAAGCAAACACGGACAGATTGATGCATGGAATATGAAGTACGAAGCAAAAAAAATCACTCAAGACGGAGAAATTATTTGCTAAATATCACCTATTACAAACTACGGGCCAAAAAACACTTTGGTTACTATATCATCGGCCTAGGAAGTAAGGGCTACAGAGTTGGTGGCGCCGAAAAAATCCTCGACCAGGCGCTCATGATCCTAGGGTGTGCCGTGGCTGGAAACCCGTGGGGAAGTAGCCAAAGCTCGTGGCTAGAACGGGCTTGCGTAGCAGCCAACGCCATGGCAGCACCATGATGAACGCCATGCAAAGCGACCTCCCTAACACGGTTCGAGATGTCGTGTAGGCGAACCACTGGGATGAATCCCGCCGCATACTCCGTAGCCGATCGGAGGCTTTCCAGCTGAGCTGACAAATCTAAAAAGATTCAAAGGGGAGATGATCAGAATCTTAAAGATAAAATTGAGAGGAGATAAAAGTTATGATAGATATCTCACCTGCGATTTTGGCCTCGGCCTCAGGAGGCGATCGACATCGGACCATGGTCAGAGCTGATTCTGCGAGGAAGAGACAGTCGACGAGATTCTGGCCATGCCTATCGATGGAGGCGAGCAGGTCGTCATTGTTGATCCACCTCCTCGAATAGCAGAGGAGCTGGTGACAAGCTATTGATGAAGAGAACCCCGAAGGCTGAACGGAGTCGGCCCTATGCCCCGAGACAGTAAGGGGATCATGAGTTGCACCCTCCTAGTGACGAAGGCGCTGGCGTGATGACATAGCTCCGTTGAGGGCCTCATCTGTAGACCTCTTGCTGTTCTCCATGATCTCACACCTATGGGAAAGCAGAAATCGCACTAAAGACACGAAAGGTTTGAGATGGAGCGGGTTGTTTTTTTATCCACAGCCGTGGCCCGTATATATATTCTGGTAAGGTGAGAAGATAGATTTCGTTGGGGTTATGGAATTAAAGTTAGATACGAAAATGGATCGACACTCCGGAAATTCAGGGGACGAATAACGAAGAGATAACAGATTCGGACTTATTGCTTCCCATAATCATAAAATATCGTGGGATGGATACGAAAGGTTTACATTGACCAGCGATCAACCCACCAAGGCTTCTTTGGATTGAAGGGAGTCCGGATTCCCGTAAGGCCGAAGGTCATCATGAGCCGAGTCATATCGGCAAGTTGAAAAAATTATGCCAGGAGAAGGGGAAAGGCCGCCTGCTTAACAGATGCCCAGCTGATTTCTTAGTGACTAGAAAACTGTGGGAAAGAAGTATGTGGCTTTCCCGATGGGCATTTGATGAAGTGAACAAGGGGAAGGTCTCCACACATTTTAGCCCTTGCAAACACTAGAACAGCTCTACGAGCATGGGGAGAAGACTCAGGTGATATCACAATAATTCTTCTAATCACAGCAACTGATCCTCTTGCTCGACAAAGCGCTAAGATGAGCGACACAATCACCCTATGCACAAGAATTCTTCTAACCACTCAAGATCCTCATAGCAAAGATAGACCATGAAGGGTCCGGCGGAGTCAGAGGCACTCGAGGAAGCAGATAGAAGAGAAACATCTTATAGTCGGCTTGGAAAGATGGATCCAAGTGCCCGTGAAGCAATGATGCTCTCGTAAAAGTTTTGAAGCAAGGGCTCATAAGCTGACATAGACGGTGATAAATAGTAGACCCCAGATCAAGATCCTCTACCCGTAACTGCAGGACCTATCTTTGCGTAGTGACCGGCGCGCGCGGGCCTCCCCGTCGCGGGCCGTCGCTGCGCGGTTGGGCCGCGCCGGTGGATCGCACGTGCGCGCGCTGCGTGTGCGTGGGCCGAGCTACGATGGGCCGCGCTGGGCGGTGTCGCCCTTTTCTTTTCTAAGGAATTAGTTAATGCTTTCTAATTTAAATTGTGAACTGATCTTTGATAATTAATATAAAATTTTGTAAGTTTCCTAAAATTGTGAAGTAAATTTTGTTAGGTTCCTAAATTCATGATCTATCTTTTAGTGTATTTAGTTCATACAGTTCTATGGTATCCTTAGGGTTATTTTATTTATTTTAAAATGCTTGTTGTCATTATGATTATTAATGAATTTTCGTGATGAAATGGTAGAAGTGATAGGTCTGAAAATTTTACAGTAGACTCATAACATTATTAGGTACTCATTGTAATTTTTGTAGCCTTGGAATATATTGAGAAATATGGTAGCTAAGTATTCCTTGTTGTAGTATATATATTAAATCGATAATAAGAATAAGGATGCCTTTAGTTGATAAGATAATACATGCAATGTTTCATACTTGTTTAGTGGTAATAATAGGTAACTTAGCGGCTTAGTCGGTAGAGCTAGCTCAGTAGCTTGATAAATGTATTTCTATTTTAAGAGTTGTTGTTGCCGTATTATTAAGTGTTGCATTATCATTTCATGCATGTAGATAACGAGTTAGTAGAGTTCGTGCCTGCGGGTAAGCAGGAGTACGAGGAGATCATCGAGGAGTACGAAGAGGAGATTCTCGTACAGGAGGGGGCCTCGGAGCCATTAGTTGCTGACTTTGTTGACACCTCGTCTGCCCAAGGCAAACCACGGTGCATAACCCTTATTTTGAATGATATCTGGATATATATAGGTGATGTGTATTTACGTTACAGATATTTTATGAAAACTACATGCATAGATATACCCACTTATGAGTCCTATTAGCATAGGTCGAGATGTTGCTATGCTCAGAATTTTGGTAGCGTGAGTAACCTGTCGTTACTCACAATAGGTGATTATTATTATCACTCATGATAAAAATGGTGAAAGAAAAATAGAGACCGGGTAGGGATATGGTTTGGGTAATTGGTGGGTGTAAGAGGCTGTGTCCTGCAGCCAACGGGGCATAGCTTGGTTACACTGTTTTTCTGTCTGTGACGGTTAAGGATCGTCCGTTGCATTAGGTTCTAGGCAAGTCACAGACTTATTATCCCGAACACATACTTGTGTATGGGCGCAGGGAAGGCTCGTTGCTCTCTTATCGTTGGTTCCGGCTCTTTCCGGAGCGACTGATTGGAGGCGTAGATGATGGAGGTCTAAGCACCGCACTGAGTCCGTGACTTAGGAGCTGAGGCTTAGAGTCTAAGTTTAGACGAGGACCTGGACCCCGTGGTAGGAGAGTGGTGGGTTGGTCCTGCTTGTGCCTGGGGTACAAGCGGGGTGTGTGTTTCGGGGTACCCAGCTGGGTACAATGATTCGTGAATCGCTGACGATCCAGTACGACTTGTCTACAGTCTGGCACCGTAGTAAAAACTGAGAGAGGAAAGGTGGTGAAATGGAACTGTTTGCTCAACTCCTGCTTGAAAGTAGAACATGTGCTTACATAAAATGGCTAGATAATGAAATAATTATGACTGCTAATAATAAACATACATAATGACGCACTATTAGTAATACTTTCTGTAAAAATGAATCTAGCAAACTATAAAGCTTAGCATATCCCTTGGAGTCGAAAAATTATTCATCAATCGTCGGATAAGTCTTGCGAGTACATTTTGTACTCATGGCTGTTGCAGGTGCTGCTTGAGGAGTAGCCGTTGTGTGAAGGATTCTTCTGATGGGCACAGACGGATCATTGTATATTATCGATAGATGTTTCTTTTCATTCCGTTGTTAATTTCCGCACTCTGAATTTGGTCCTGTAATAATATATTTTTAAGAATTTTGGATGTATGAAATGGACTAAGTAATGTAAATTCGTTCTCATTATTGGATCCTGAGGAGAAAATATGGATTATTCGGGCTCTCCCTTGGGGTGTGCTCGATGGAACCCGCGCGATGTAGCTTACTTTTAGATGCTTAGTGTCTAGTGAAAAACGAGCGTCTTCGAAAATATATTATTTCGAACGGTTCTGTCACGTAAGCCGGCTTATATAAGCATCCGAACATGGCCATTTCCCCGGTTCAGACAAAAGGAGCAATGCATTGGAACGCTGATTCGCTGAACGTGAAAGTCTGACTCAACGGAATTGAGTAATCCCCCATCGAAACGGACAGCGTGATTGCGACCAATCCCTCGCTCTTCCACGGCTAATCGCTCCGCTTTTTGCCTAGTAATCCCGCAGTCTCTCCCTCGGCACGTCTATTTCAAAGACCGTCACTTGGCACACCCTCCTGCTTTTGAGATGGCCTCGCTCAGACCTCAGACGAGGCTCAAAAACCATCGGAATCTAGAAGGCAGCCGCCGAGATGCAGTCAGACAACTCACACTCAGACCTCGTTTAAATCCATATCGTAAAGTGTTAAGGTGTTATATGAAATGTCGCATAAGGTATTCGGATACTAATAAAAATAATTATAGAATCCATCAATAATTCGCAAGACGAATTTATTAAGCCTAATTAATCTGTTATTAGCACATATGTTACTATAGCACCACGTTGTCAAATTATGGACTACTTAGGCTTAAAAGATTCGTCTCACAAATTAGCCGTAAACTGTCCAATTAGTTATTTTTGAGTCTATATTTAATAGACCATGTATGTGTCTAAACATTCAATGAGATAGGGAGTAAATTTTAGTGGAAAGAAATAAACAAAGCCTCACAAGTCGCAACCAGAGAGACCAAAACTTGAAGCATCTAGATCAGAAACCTTGTCCAGCATGGATACCGATACGAAGTTCAGGGCCAAGTCGGGTCAATTCCGGCAGAATTCTGTAGCACCAAGTGTAAGACAGTAAGACCAAGACCGGCAGTGGCGTGACCGCGTGAGCCAGCTCTTCATAAGACCGACCGTGTATCAGACAAGGCAGCAGTGCTCCTGGTGTCATACCATACCGCGTGGCCTCTCTAGTCCAGTCCTCCATCCCCATGGCGGCCGCCGGGGCGTCGGAGGACAAGAGCGTGCCTTCCCCGACGGTCTACCCGGCGTCGTCGTCCCACGACGCCGAGGCGGAGGCGGACGCCGCCGGGTCGCGGTCCACGCCGTACCTCCGCCAGCGCCGGTGCGCGCTCTGCTGCGGCGGCTGCTGCGTGGTCATCGGCGTCATCATCCTGGTGCTCGCGCTCACCGTGTTCAAGGTCAAGGAGCCGCGCCTGACCGTGAACAACGTCTGGCTCACGGCCATCAGCGCCGGGCCCGGGACCGGGACGATCCCCGCGCCCGGGACCGGGACGATCCCCGCGCCCGTGGCCACCAACGCCACGCTCACCGCCGACATCTCCATCAAGAACCCCAACGCCGCGGCATTCAAGTTCTCGCAGACGGAGACGGACGTCTACTACAGGGGCCAGACGGTGAGCGTGGTGTACGCGCCCGCCGGCCGCGTGGGCGCCCACGGGAGCGACCGGTTGAACGTCACGGTCGACCTCCTCGCCGACCGCCTCGCGCGCGTGATGAACGGCACCGGCCTGGTGTTCGGCCAGGAGTACGACCTCGACACCTACACGGAGATCAATGGGACGGTCAATGTGCTGGGGATCATCAAGAAGGACGTCGAGATCAAGTTGAAATGCTCCGTCGTCGTCGAGGTTGGGGGAGCGGCTGCCGCGCTGGAGTATGGGGTTGCGTCCACCGTGCAGAGCAAGAGCGTCAATTGTTTAGCAGATGTCACCTTGTGAGTCGGTTCAAGAGTGGCGAGTCATTTCCATATCGTTCCTGGGTGGCCGATCTCTAATTTCTATTTTTACGTTTCCATGTTGTGTAGTCATTATGATGTTGTAATTCTATTTTTACGTTTCCATGTTTAAATTATGACCATGTTTTACTTTGCAATCCCATCTACGGAGTAGCAAATTATACCATCTGTCCATAACAATCAATAGGCTTACCTTCCTTAATTTTCTATTTTCTTTGTTCCTTTTGCAATCCCATCTAGGAGTAGCAAATTATACAGGACAGTTCTTGACCTGTATGCTGTCGAGAATACCATATATGTTACGATAATGCGTATTAAGCAAATGCCTTAGCACCTTGCAACCTCATCTCTCAAAACTGCAGAATAATACAATCTTTCAGTACAAAATCACTAGTCTTGCTTCCTGGATTTTATAAACTATTACTACTACGCAAGGCACGTGGTTGCGTTTATTAAAACTAGATGATACCCCACGTGTCGTTACAGGATTAAATGTGAAATTACAATATAAGTATATATATATATAATACTAATTAATATGTTAAACACTTCTGAAAATATAAATTAAAGAATCTGTAGGATCATACAGAATAAAAACACGATCACTGCCTTCAGAACTCAAAGGACATAAATAAATGGAGAAACAAAAATAAAAAAAACAATAGCTGTGACAGATGCATCTCTCTTGCTTTTTGCTTGACGAGATTGCCAAGTAGATATCTAAGCATATTGAATAATAAACATTGCAGTATTACTGTAGCAGTAAAAATATTCCTCGATGTTCTTTACGATAGCATACAGCCTGTTCGCTTGCTCGTAAACGATCGTAAATTTCCAGTCGAGAACAGTGTTTTTCTCTCACACCAAACCAGCCAACAGTAAATAATCCACGATACGATACGGCCTCCCGAACAGGCTAATAGTCCTTAAGACTCAAATCTGCAATCGAATCATCTCTTTTTATTTATATGATTGAGTAGATACCCCAGACTAATTGGATATTTGTATCCTTCAATACATTATAGGGCTTGCACCATCTAGAAGACAACATAACAAACAGAGAGGAAAGTTAATGATGAAAGAAGTCTCTATTCATAATTTCCATATTATACAGATGCAGGATGGCATAATACTTCCAAAGTGCTCCTGCGTGTAGGTCGTAGGATGCTACTTGGTATAAATAAATTAACACCACACTGAGATCATGCATCCATGAAACAAACTGATCATTACAATGATGAGCTAAATACAATGAAAATGGTGGACTGTCCACATAAAAAGAACAAATGGTGATGTTTTAAGCAAATATTTAAATTAGGGGCTCTTGCATCCATACCCCTATTTTATATCGATATTGTGATTTTACCCCTGTTTTTTTAACTTTGTGAATTTACCCCACCTTACTCAAAACGAAGCACCACTTTGCCCTTATTCCGTCATCCTCCCATAATGGTGTTAACTTTTGTACCAAAGGACAAATATGCCCTTGTGATTTTGCCCCTAGTTTTTAGAGCTATTTGTGATTTTACCCCTAACTTGGAATAAGACACATATACTGTTCCAGCGAACACCCTGCTGGCTGTTACAGCCCCGCACGAGACCGTGGCGCCCTCCTTGCACGTGGTCGCTCGACCGCCCGGCCGCCACGCCTGACGGCCACCCGGTTCGTCTGCCGATGCCGCTGATGACGTCCGCCCGACTATATGTGCTCCGCAAGACCCGCGTGCCATGCCATGACGCCTCACCGCCGCAATGCACCACCGCCATTGCCTTGTACATTACAAGACCCAGCAGCTACCGCGGCACCACAAGCCGCCACGTCACTTCAGACTCCACCAGCAGCACCGCTTGCACCGCCTTTTGCGCGCCTGCCACAATGCCCGCACAAGATCCGCTGCTAGCGGCTTTGCCTGCCGCTTGCCGGCCTTGCCAGCGCCGCCAGCAAAGCGCCAGACTGCGGAGCTCAACGCTCACCACACTCAACACCATAGCCCCCCTGCAGCGCCCCATTTGCCACACACCACCCAGCGCAGTCGCCTTGCCATTGCCCATACGCGCCACATGAGTCTCGCCGGTCGTGCCTCCCCGTCGATGTCGCTACCGCCTTAAAAGGCACCGGTGGACACGCAGTGCGGATGGGACAACTGTGATAAGGGCATTTCAGTCATTTTGCATCTGATTTTATGTGTTTTATTTTTTTAAATCGTTTAATCAGCCTCTAAATAACAGACATCCAAACCAGGCAAACTGTTCCTTCGTTTCAAAATAACTTGGGTAAAATCACAAAGTTGAAAAAATAAGGGTAAAATCACAATTGAACTTATAGATAGGGGCAAAAACACCGTTTTCCCTTTAAATTATTACAAGCGAAAAAACAGAAAGGATATGAACTAAAGCTAATGTGACAGACAAGTAGAATTCATAACTTAAACTACAAAATACCTACTTTGGCACAACAGCCTGGGAAAAGCATACAAAGTACAACCTCATTTGGTCTGAACTTACATTTGGCCCAATTTGAAAACAGCCTGAATTGTTGTGAGAGAAAAATACTGTTCCGGCTGAAAAAATAAGCCGAACAAGCCAAATTTAAGACAAGCGAACGGGGCCTGAAAACAACTGTTACACATAAATCACAGATGCCAAAAAAAAATATCAAAATCTCAGAACAGAATTCTTACAAATCTGTTTGAATCTCTCACTGTCATAAAAGTGCAAGGAAGCACATAAAACTTGCTAGACACAGCAGATACAGGGAAATAACATCAGATGCCAAAAGAATAGCAAATTACCAATACCTCAGAACCGAATTCTTACAGAAATGCTTGAACCTGTCACCATCATTAAAGTGCAAGGAAGTACATAAAAATTGCTAGACACAGTAGATACAGGGAAATAGCATCAGAAATCCATTCAGCGTGATTCATTGGTGTTTGATCCAACATGACAACATCGCACGGAAATTAACTTGAAGTGCCATCAAAATAAGTTACATGTCCGATCCACACACATTATAGTTAGGTAGAAGCAAATCAGAATATATTATCCTGATCCCCAAAAGGATAAGGAAACAAATAAAAGAAAAGGGAGTTGCCATGAATCCACAGTGTTGCACAGCAATAGATGGAAAATGAAGACTCCCAACAAAGTGACTTTACCACCAACTGATCATTGTACTACAGTATAATACTACGTTCATTATTCATTTGGCAGTTCTTGATGCTTGCAACTAGCAACAAAGGTGTGTGAGGTCACAATCTCTTGACTTTTATATGCAGTTTCCCTTAAAAGAACAAAGTAGGTACATAGGAGTATACACTTATCATGTCATGATATCAGCTAGTCTCAATTGGTTTACTTGTACCCTGGGAACCGACAATTGAAGGGAACAAAATTCATACACAAAACAGAAATGTTTGGCCGGAGATATGAGAATATGATTAATTCAACCAACCAGGACAGGATTTGAAAAGTCAGGCTAATCAATAGCACGAAGTATATTGTAGCAGTTTAAAATAGAAAGAATTTTCCATAATGAATAACATAGTACTTATACTTCAAAGACATAATTACATCCAGAATTTTAAGCAGTAATCTGCACATAAAAATTATATCAGTTGTAATTTCCTTCCCATAAACTAAATAACTGATCTTTGTTGAATATCAAATCAATTGTGACTGAAAAATCCAGTTCTCCAAATTATCTGACACACAAGAGTCAGAGGTCTCTTAAAGACCCAGAAATAACTTAATAACTAGTAAGAATTATATTGAAGAATGTTCTTCCTTCCCTTACAATATATAGATTTTCAATTTAGATGCTAGCACGGTGATACTCCTACATTTCAGGAGAACTAGCAGGTTCTTCTTTCACATTCTTGCTACCAAAATAAGATAGCCAACAAACAAGGATGTACACTGCAATATAAGTCATGAATGGAATAAGATGATTGATTCAGAGAACGATCTTGCGCATACAATTATAAGACCACAGGTAAACCTCACTTGATAGACGCTATCTTAGAACAGAAGAACAATGTATGTACACTGCATGTCTTCCTCGGTCCAATAATGTACTGCTATCAAGCAAAACTTTTCTCCTAGTTATGGTAGCTCTAACCGAACAGTCCAAATGTGCTAAGCATCACTGATTAACCACCCAAACCTGTCCAAACAAATGGAACAATCAGAATGGTATCCCAGAGTCAACAAACAGGGTGATATTAAGGAGGAAAAGAATGGAAATGAGAGATGTCAACCTTCGTCACCTGCTCCGGCGACGGTCGGCAGCATACTGCGACAGCGGGACAAGCTCCGAGAGTGGTGTGGAGAGCGGGGTGGCGACGGGGGTCGGGATGGGGGAGGAGCGGCAGACGGGGCAGGACGCGCTCCGACGCAGCCACGCGTCGAGGCACGTGAGGTGGAACCTGTGCCTGCACTCGGGCATCACCCGCAGCATCTCGCCCTCCCTGTACTCGCAGAGGCAGATGGAGCACGCGACCTCGGCGTCCGCGCCCGCGCCCGCCCCGGCCTTGGAGAAGGGCACCCTCGGGTACGAGGCGATGACGGAGGGGTCGAGCCCGACGGGGGACGCCGCAGCGGCGGCGCCGCGGGAGGAGGACCCCGGCGAGTCGTAGTCCTCCGCCACGAAGACGACGCGGGGCACGGTGATGGAGATGTGGCCGGAGCTGGAGGCGGAGGAGGCGGCGTGGCGGGCGGAGCCGACTCCGACGCCGGCTCCGGCGCCGAACACCTGGCCGGCGCCGCCGCGGCGGAGGCAGAAGTAGGAGGCGAGCAGCACCGACGCGAGGAGCACGAGGAAGCCGAGCGCGATGGCGATTGCGTACCCGAGACCGAGCGAGGCGAGCGAGTCAAGGATGGACATGGCTCCCTCGCTCCCCCCCACGTGGTCGGCGGCGGCGGGGGTGTGATCGTGGGGCGGAATGGCATGATGCGCGGGGGAGGGGCAGAATGGGAAGAGCGTATTTGTTTGCGGGGGCTTAGGTTTCCGGGGCGCTGGAGGAGGCTGGATCGGGTTGTTGGCGGCATTAATTGCCGGGGAAGGAGGAGAAGCCGAGAAGGGGAATCGGAGTAATGGCGGAGGACTGGGCGGGTGCAGCCAGCGCGCTGCCGTGCTCTGGTTTTCTGCCGCGCGGACGCGGCTGGTGTGGATGTGGGAACCGGGAGACTGGAGAGCGGAGTGGAGTGGCCGAGTGGCAGAGGACGCCAGGGCGGGGAACGCGTGAGGTTTCGGAGGAATGCGCGTTGGGCCGTCGCTGACAATGCGACTCCAGCTGGTGGTGGGCTGCGGCCTCGTTGACTTTGGTGGTGCATGGGCCGACCAAGGAGCCGTACGGGGATAGCATAAATATTGAGACTGTGTATTTGCTCAATGGGACGGCCGTTGGCTCAGATAGAGATACTGTAGGAGATAGGGCATCTACAGCGCCTCCAGTGTATCAGAGTCGAGTAGGCGAAAGGAAGGCCTTAAACATTATTATTGCTGTTTTTTTTTTCTAAAAATAGATGGAGTATACAGGAGAATAAAAAGGTGCTTGCACGCCTAGCTACCATGATGGTTTCTGATCCAGTTGGCGGTTGGCCGTGGTATTTAACTCTTTTTTTCCTTTCGCCTCCTCGACTATGATACACTCACACACATCACCACTACCAAAAATAGTATCTTTAGAAGAAGTTCAAAAGAAAAACATGTTCTGGAGTATTTCTAAAAAATGTTTTTTCCACGCATTTTCCCTTAAGAATTCGTAAAATCATTTTTCTTGAAAAACAAAAGCTTCAAAAGTTCTAGGAAAAATAGCTTTTTGATTTATAGATCTACAAAATGAAGATCTTCGGGGGAATTTAAAGAACATCAAGAAAGTGCACTGAAAGCAAATCAAAAGTTTTGCTAGAACAAAGGAAAATGGAACATTAGGAAGAGATGAGACACTCACCAGCCATCCTCGGTGCTTTTCCCTATATGTGTCTTCCTTTTTCCCTAGGTTTGAACTCATCTTCTTGCTCCTCCACTACAACCATCAGATCTTCAGGGAGGGAGGCAGTCCTTCTCAGCACAGCGCTTTGCCATGCAGCAATGGCACCACTCGCGAACCTATAAGCAAATCTAAAGGGCTGGGCAAGGGGGAAGGAGGGAGGAGGAGGATGAACTCAGTGCAGCGTTTGTCCATCCAGTGATGGTGCCATCTCCGGTTAGGAGCTTGGGCAGATCTGGAAGGTCAAGTATGGGAAGGATCCATAAAGGTCTAGCTAAAACGAAGGGGCGAGGGCGCAGGCCTTAAATGGGGCATGGGGGCTACCAGACAACACTTCTCACATGACAAAATAAGGCAAGAAAATGACACTAGTAATGCAAATACTTCGCAAACTAGCGCTCACGTGCAAAGCACTCGGTATCTGGCTATCAGATCCTAAGGGTACCAAGACTCAAATGAACTTCTTAGATGATAGTTTAAACTTAGTTTTAGGGAATGGACGGGTAAACCCTTCCCTTTTCTATGGCCAACCCATCGTCGTCCATTCATACAAAGGCAAATTCGTCCGCTAATGGTTTTACTTTTATATCAAGTAATATGGCTTGTTTGGATGGAGTCTTAGCCAGCAATTAAAAATGGACACTTGAGATTGATGTCTGGGTCGAGCGAATTTTCTAGGTATGCATCCGAACAACCCCTAGAAGCATACATTGTGTTGTTGAATCTTGCCCTAGCAACATCTCCATATTCAACCGATACAATATCCCACTCTATGTGTAATAAAAATACCTGCCACATTTCAATGTAGTCATTGTCAAGATGTGGTGGCAAAACAGATGGTGAACTAGTGATGGTATGTACTCTCCAGTAAAATTATGGTGATATTTCATAGAGTCGTATAGGGAGAGATGACTTGTTTTATATGGGAAACGTTCCAGTACTATAATATCTTAAATTTATTTGGACATTTTCAAGGGTATCTCTACATTGTGGTTTCTCTCATGGCAATATAATTGCACTACTGCACTAGGTCATCCTCAAGGTGTTGCCTCCACCATACTCGGAAGCATGATTTGGTATCCTGTCAATGTGCTAATTTCCGTGGTATATTTGAATCTCCTTGTTTCTAGCAACATAATTTAATTCTTTGAAGTGAATCTTTTGTTTAGACTTTACTTGTACTTACACTAAAAGGACCTAGGATGCCGTCTAAAGGGGGGTGAATAGGCGTTTATGAAAATTAACACCTTTAAATGCTTAAACAATTAGAAAATGGAGTTTCCAAAATGAAAACTCCGAATTAAGAGTAATACCACCCCTCACAAGTTAGCCACAGAGTAAACAAGGTATAAAGAATATATCTAGAAGCTACAACCCTGCAACACAAATTTAGAACAGAGAATAAATATTTTCAGCATAGGCAGAAAATACCGGACGTGTTCGGTACACACGATTTCTGCAAAGCAGCCCCAAACTTGCTCCTTTCGATTTCTATCTTCAAGCCAAACTGCAGGTACCTACTAGAGATGACAATATACACAGAGAACCTGCACAAGAGCTGGAGCAACACAAATATCAAATGAAATGCGAATTGAGACACGATATTTGTTTTACCGAAGTTCCGACTCGTTCGAGTCCTACTCTCCGTTGAGGGGTCTGCGGGCAACCCAGCGAAGGTCAGCCCTAGAGGGTACCACGAAGGTCACTCTAGCCGGAGTCTTTTCTAACTTCTTTTTCTCCTTTCACTAGTTGATTTTGAGGCAGCGGAATCGACCGTTACAAACTTTTTGAGGCACACCACAATCTCTCGGGTGCTAACCATCTAGGACCGAAGAGTTCAAGAGTAACAAATGCAAATCATGAAATAGACAATATGCACAAGTGCTCAAGTGGTGGCTTTCTCTCCTTTTCAAATTCTCTCTTAACCCACAAATGGATTTTGCTATTTGAATCACACACTCACTAAGAGAGGGTTTGGGAGAGTTGGCAAGGCTCAAAAACGTGTATGTGTATCAGTAGAATCAGTAGCCTCCAAAGGTGGAGGCTTAGGGGTATTTATAGCCCCCTTGAGAAAACTAGCTGTTTTATAGCCATTGCCATACTGACTTGCACTGCGCCAACGGTAACCGAGTTACAGTGACGTTGTGAGGCATCGGAACTCCCGATGAATGCCGGAACTTCCAACCGTCGGAACTCCCGACCCTCAGCACATTTAAAAACTACGGTAACTGAGTTAAAGTATGTGAGGTGTCGGAACTCCCGACTCATGCTGGAACTTCCGACCATCGGAACTTCCGACTCACGTTGGAACTCTCGACCCTCAAGGCATTTGAAAACTAGCCGTTGGCCTCTGGCCGTCCACGTCCGGTATGACCACCATAGTGAACTCTCTAAGTCAGTTAAGCGCGAGACGTCGGAACTCCCGACCATTGCCGGAACTTCCGACCGTCGAAACTCCCGACTCAAGTCGGAACTTTTGACGAACCAACCCGAGATCAACAATATTACCATTGCTGGGCAAATACCGGACACGTCCGGTATCAATACCGGACACGTATTGCTAGACCAGCAAAAACATGTTAGCTCTTTTGTCTCTCAAACACTCAAAACTCACATGGTTTGGCTTTAGCACTTATGAAACATTATCTATCAATATGATGCATCCCTCTTAATAGTATGGCATTCCTATTAACTCAAATTTAAAAGTATAACGAATTTAAACATTTTAAGTTAATCTCTTTCAACCGAAGCCGTGTATTCCAATCTTCATCAAGTTAGGGTGCCAACATGTTGATATTGATCTTTTCACTTGAGCATAGCCATCTTGAGCATGTGACTTGATTCCATTTATCAAATTTGAATAATCCCAAATGTATCAAGTCACTTCCATCAAACACTCCAATAGTGATTTGATCCTCCACATTAACATGACTATCATAGCTTGATTAGTACCTCAACTAAATGCAAGTACTTCCTTCTTCACCCTAGCTAGGTTCTTCGACCGCCAAGCCGTTGCTTGCCTTTCACCTTTGCTTAGTACCTCGAAGCCTTTCCTTACTATTTTCACCATCTCAAACCATCAAGTCACATCTTGTGTTGAATCATCCATTCATTTGTATTGTTATCTTTTTCATTTTAATTTAGCAAGCTTTAAATATGAGACCATTCCATATGCAATCTCTCATGTCTCATTAATTAATTCTTACGAGCTTGCTTTCACATAGTATATGAAAATCCCACAATAAATAAGCCTTTGTATGAATTACATTTGGATTGTTGTCTTGTGCTTGAACTAGGTTGTTAATATAACAACACATCATTTTGTCTTTCATTAAGTACCTGTGAGATAATCTATTACCTGTCCACACTTAGCAAACGGGTTAGACATTTAATCATATTTTCATTGAATCATCCAAAACCCACTAAAGGGCTAGATGCACTTTCATATACCTACTCATTTTATTTCTAATTTTATAGGTCACCTAACTTTGTCTTGAATCAAGCTTTTATATGTTTGACCAAGTTTGTAGAATAATGTACCAATCTACGACATCGAATTAGTTTGGCTGTTTTTTTAACAAATTATATAATGATAGTGCATGTTTTCGAACTTGTGGATGTTAAGGTATGTTTCTCAAAACTCGATCAAATTTATGAAAGTATTAACTTAGGCCCATGACCTATAATTTGGAATGGAGGAAAGAGTCAATATAATCGTAAGAAAAAAGTTAACAAACACCAAAATAAAAAAGATCAAGGGTATTCATTGCTTGAAAAAAAAAGTCAATGGCGATTTAACCTTAAATCAAGGGAACGAATCCTGTCAAACCGTAAGGTTATTCCAGTAAAAGCTGTCAAAGGTTGTATTTTATACTAGTTAAAGTGACGTAGA